TAAATACTTAAAAGAATTGGTTAAAAGAGGCGTTGTGATGAAAATACAATATTATAAAATACAGTCGCAAGTGTTGAAGGTAAAATACAAGAACGCGATAAGCGAATTGTTTAAATCAAGCATCAGTCCTGACGAGGAGCAGAACAACAAAATCAGGAAGACAATAGCAAATATTACTTTTGGACTAATGGAATAATCGTATAACAGAAAGTCAGTGAGTAGGATGTTTGACAATGTAGGACATGCTTTACATCATCAAAGAACCCGCGGAGGCAGACTTTATGTTTTGGATGATGAAGAATATGAGTGTTTTAATAAATGGCAACTATTAAATGATGATGAGTGGAGTATTGGTCTCTACGGAGATGAGAGACCATACTTCCAACATGTAAATGGTAGTATGACATTTCCTGAATTTGGTATTGATTGCAAAGTTGAAGACAGCAATAATTATTACAGCGAACGGGGTGAGAAATATAGGGAAACTGAAAAGACAAGTAAGACTGCCAAATATTATGTTGTTTGCCTTACCGACCAAAGAAAACTAATGAACGGATTTAGGTATATTAAAGAATTCTTATTACAAGGTCATAATTTTAACATGTATGAAACTTTTGAAAAAACTGAAAGCAAATAGTATTAAAGTTTATGCGGTGAAAACCGATGCCTTTCATATTGCAAAGAAAGATGTAAGGATGGCAAAGAAGTTGTTAGATTCTCGTAATGATATTGGAGGATGGAGAGTAGAAAGTAATAAAGTCTATGAGCTGGAAACTGATTACAAATGGAAGTTTAATGAGATGGTAAAAATACCAAGTTTTGAGAATGAAACAATACCAACTGAAGATGAGTGGGAAGTTGAAAGCACCTGTAATAAGATTATGGAAAAAGGAAAAGTTATGATTAGAGCAAAATTTGCTGGGAGCGGTGAAAGTTTTATAGGCAAGTATGTGGACAATTTAGGATACAATACACTTTTTGTTGTGCCTCAAAATATGTTAAAACAAGAGATTGAATGTGACGCGGTGACAGCAACTACATTCTTTAGTATTCCAGTTGATAAAGGGGATGACCTACCAAAGTTTGATTATTCAAATTTTCAATGTATAGTGTTTGAGGAGATTTATATGTCCAGTCCTTACATGTTGAACAAAATAAGGGTGTTTGCAAATAACAATCCTGACATCATAATTGTCGGTGCCGGTGATGTCAAGCAACTGCCACCGATTGAACCTTTCACTAAAACTCAAAATGCAGGTGAATACATTGACAAATGTATTGACATTTGTTTTTTAAATACAATATATTTCCAAAGATATGTAAGCGTGTAGGCGGTAAGGATACAGAAGAAGGAGAAAGAAACAGAAAGAACTGAATGAAATCTATGATGACTTTTGGATTAAAAAGATGGCAGTTGAAGAATGGATAGTTAAGCATTTCAAATTTACTAAAGATGTTACGAAAAGCGTGAACAACATAGCATATACAAATATAAGATGCGAGGCAGTATCAAATGAGATTAGAAACAGATTAGGTAAAACATGCAAATATGAAATTGGAGAAATCTTAATATGCAGACTCTACAAAAAGGACAAGGAAGGACAATTGAATGTTAATAATAGATGGAAAATTACAAACATTGAAGGATGCAACGTTACAATACAAGATATTAAGGATACGGAACATATTAGGACATTTGCCATTGATATTATAGATAAGCATTTTAGATATGCCTACTGTGCTACCACTCATAGCAGACAGGGGACATCAATCAGTGATAATATGACCATTCACGAATGGAACAAGTATTATTAAGTTTGTAGGGAATGGTTGTGGACTTCTATCACACGAGCGAGGGATTTTAACAATGTCTATTTTTTCAAAAACAAGGAATGCGAAGAAGATATGTTCAAGAGTTTGGTAATCAACGATTTTAAAAACAAAGTTGAAGGATATAAACAGCAAGATAGAGTATCAAAAAGAGAAATAGACGAAGAGCAATACATTGACGAACGCTGGTGCTTAAAATGCTTCAAATCCTGTTGCCAAAACTGCGGAATTAAATTTAATCTAGATACAAGAGGAGGAAAGATAAGTTCTAACTTCACTGCTCAGCGTTGTGATAATGAGTTATGCCATACAGTTGAAAACTGCACCGCCTTCTGTGTCTATTGCAATTGTAGTGCGTCATGAATAATTTTGAAAATGAGTTTTTCAAAATTATTTTATTGACTTAATTAATGAGTTCAACACAAGAAATTATTAAGAGTGTATGTTATGATAGAATCGGTTATGGTTCAAAACAAACAACCCTCAAGGATGCCAAGCAAAAAGATAGCAGTATTACAATTAACGATAGTAATGAATTCTTTAATAAGAATGTAGAAGAAAAAAGAAAGATGAGAGGCGAAAATAGTTTTATTGCTCCGCATAGTTTCTGGGAATTTCAAGTAGATATGTTTATTTCAAACAATGATTTGGAAAATCAAAGTTTAGAATTGGTATGATATGCATTGATATTTTTAGCAAGTATATGCATATCGTGCCAATTATATCCAAGACACCGCCAGACATTTTAGCAGGAATGATGGAGAATATCAATAAGATGGGTGACAAACCGAAATTAATTTATACCGACGAGGAAGGCAGTTTGTTTAATCAATCAGTATTAGATTATTTGAAGGAGGAGAAAATTGAATTACATAGAACTAGAGGTCATCCAGCATTTGCGGAGCGTGGAATTCAGACTTTTAAAGGCCAACTTTTTAAAAGAGTTGAAGCGGACAAGAAAAATGGAAAGCAGAACATCCAATGGACGGATTATATTTTTGAAATACTATTAACTTATAAGAATCAAACATATTCATTCTGCAACTAAGTTTACACCGAAGGAAGGAATAATGAAAAGGAATGAATTTAAAGTTAAAATGAATATTACAATACAAGCAAAGACAACTAGAATGTATCCAGAATTAGACGTAGGAAGTAATGTAAAAATATTCAGGAAGAAAGGCATAAGCAAAAGGCACATACGTCATTGGTTAAAAGAAGTATTTAAAGTAAAAACAGTTGATAGTAAACTAGGTCAATCTTACTTTCATTTGGAAGGAAAAACTAATCCTTATTTGAGACACGAATTATTGAAAGTTTAATATTAAACGAAATACACTTGAAGAAAACATGCCTTATGATATTAGTGAAATGTTATTTAATTATAACAAGTGCGAATGCTGTAAATGCAAAATGAATAATTTGAATTTAACCTTACATCATTTACTACCAGCAAATGTATGTAATAAAAAAAAGTGAATATAATGTATATTGCAACCAATGCTGTATAACAAGAGACCTTGACAAGTTTTTTCTTGAAGAACATGAGGATAAGGGATATACAAAGTTTCAATTACAATGAAAACATTTTATGCAACACCAAGCAAGATTTCCTATACACTTTTACCATAAGATTTCCAGAAAGTCATTTGAAAAAGAAATTCATGAATTCTTTAGTAATATAGATTTAATTAAGAGGTTTGGAGGGACAAACGCAATTAAACCATATAAAGCATGTGTCAAAAAATACCGTTATTTGTTTGAATGGATTGACTGGCATTTCTTAAGCAAAGATAAAATAAACGAAGTCTTGAACGAATTTAGAGCAACTAAATATAGTATATGGTATAACTACAACACTAAAAAAAGTATGTCTATTAGTTAATTTGTTTTTCTGGGAATATATTAATTCAATACTAGGAAAAGACACTATCAAATATATAGATGAAGATGATATAGGTAAATATGTAGATTACATATTTGAAGACATATTGCCTGACTATTATGTTAACCCATAAACCTTACAATAAAACATTGTAAGGTTTAAGTTTTGAAATTATGTGACTTTTTTTTTCTAATAATAATGTTAGTTAATAATTGAGTTTTAGGCGAAATGGTCCTAAAGAAAAAACACCTTATATTAATAGTGAAGAAATGAACGGTATTGAAATCAATAAGTATATTAATAAGAAATGCTACGACTGTTGCCACTTCAAAAAAGAAAATATGGAATTGTACAAATTAAATTTACCTCATGGAATAACAAATAATGTTATTGATTATGCTTTGGGTAAAGAAGATTTATGTTAAATTTGTAGAAATTGGAGGTTTTATCAACAAATGATTGAAAATCATTTAGATATGAAAATTTTTCTTAAAACACATGTTGAAGATGAACTCTTGATATTTCTATCTGTGTATGAAAGACCACCTTATAGTTATGTTAGAGCATTTCTGAAAATCAGTGAGAAAAAGTATGAAATGATAGACCGCATATTATGGATGTTGGTTTATCGCGAAAAGGAAGGAGAAGAGGATAAAGAAAATATCAAATTAGTTATTGAAAGCAAACAGTTTAATGTTAAAAATACAGTGAGAGGTATTAACATTATTTTAAAAATGATGTATGAAAGAAGTAAGATGTATCAATTAAATTATTATCCGAACTGAACTAATAAATTACACCATAAACCTTACAATAAAAACATTGTAAGATTTATGGTTTGGAATTATGTGGGTTTTATATTTTGGGAATTTGGAAAATTATATTTTGGGAATTTGGGATTTTGGATTTTGGAAAATTATATTTTGGGAATTTGGGATTTGGGATTCTGGAAAATTATATTTTGGGAATTTGGGATTTGGGATTTTGAAATTTGGAAAATTATGTTTTGGGAATTTGGGAATTTGGGATTTGGGATTTAGGGATTTAGGGATTTAGGTGGTAAAATTGGTTGAGGTGCCGTGCCCCAGTTGGTTAATATGGTTGAAGTGGTGGGTTGAGGGGGTTTTATCTGAACTGAGGCGTGCCCTATGGTAGGTCTTAGAAGGGTGCTGGGGTCGTTTGGGGAACGCACCAAGAAGCGCAATGTTGACCCCGTGACCATTTCCCAGAAACTCAGCAGCAACAAGACGTAGGCAGGCCGACCAGTTTGAGGATGCCTCCCCTCCTCCATCAACATCTTGGCAGGTCAGCAGCTTCGCACAGCCCGCAGCACCACCCACAAAGAAGAGGGTGAGAATACGTAGCGCCATGCTGATTCCTGGCTCAGACTTCGGCGGCGGGCAACCCTTAATCACGCAAGGGGCAATCGAACAGGTTTAATGGACCAACTACTTTTCCTACGCTTGCGACATGCTCTGAGAGGCAAAAGAGGCAAAGCTCAATCTGCCTGTGCTGTGAAAAGCCAGCTCCACCGCAACACACAGCGCCAGCAGCGCCAGGGGCACCAGTGATGCAGCCACAGGTACGGCCAGACGCGCAGCAGCTCCAAAGGAACAGTCCAGGCTCAGTGCGTCCTTCAGGCCCTGCACGGATAGCTGAAGCCACTGGATGTACGGCTCTTCCCAGAAGGAGTGAGCGAAGCTGTGGTCCGCATCCTGGCTGGATCGCCGCTGCACCAAGGTCGCACGAAGATACAAGAAGCAAGCTGGTGCAAAAGAAGGATGACAAAGCAGCAAATAAAGCTACAGTTTTATCCCTGCTTGGCCCCCCTTCAAACTCGGCTCATCGAACTTGGCGACGGTCCTTCTCAACTTTGCTTTCGAGGCCATGGTGGGAGCTAGCCAGCACAGCAAGCACCATCCAGAGCTGGCAGAGCTGCAGCAGCATAGGCCCCTGAGCCATCAGCAGGGCGAGCGCTGCGTTGCGTGGCTCAGCTGTTCCAATCTCTGCGCACCTGAGGCGTCCCATGTCGGGCTTCATTGCACTGCCATTCTGTTGTGGTCCAAAGCATTGCGTATTCATCGCCATCAGAAACGTGCGCAACATGGAAGCTTCACAGTCCTTTGAAACTCCATGCATAAGTTAAGTCCATGACCAACTCCCTTCAGGCCGTTTATGCAAACTTCAGAAGATTTCAGGCAGCTGCGCGTGTGCCTACAATGTGCCCGCCTGCCTGCGCCGCATGACAACAGCAGCTGCAATAATTGCAGTGGCTATTACTATGGCTTTGCGAATGTCTCCGGTCTGCAAGGAGGCTGTGCACTCTTTGCAAATGTTTCCAGAAGCATAATGTCCTTCTGCGCACATGATGCAAAGCGGCCCAGCATAGCCTCGAGGAAGCTGCGACTCTTGACATCTGTGTCCCCACCTCACACAAACAAGCTGCGCAATTGTTTGCAAGCGAGCGGCCATGCGCGCATCCATTTGGGCCATCCGGCTTGCAACGACTCTGCGGGTCCGTGCACCTGCCAAGAGAGCTTGAACACAAGCATCACAAGCGGGCTATGCGGCGCCCGCAAAAAATATTGTTTGGGGGAGGTGTCAAAATACAGGGCAACCCCATGTCAAACGCTTATGCTTTAGCAATAGCTATGTCCCTCTACGACCATCCAACGTGGCCTTTCGCCCCTCAGTGCAACAGCTTTAAAGCCAGCTTCTCGGTTCCAACTCGCCCCAGCCACACGAAGACAACCCTTGCCTGAAGATTTGTACAGTCTCTGCCTTCAGGCGCATCCAGCCCATCGCTGCTGGGGCTGTGATGGCCGCAAAGCCCGGACCCTTGCAGCTGAGATGCAGATCGTCGCAGGAACTGCAGGCGTCATCGTGGAATGCCTGACCCTTGACACAGCCGCACTCATGGCTCTCGCCGTGGCTGTGGTCTGGCTGTCGTGTCGATGTCAAAACTTGTGCTGCAGGGTTGTAGATCATCCCGAACTCGCACTTGCACTGCTGCACAGAGGTTGCGCCCCATGAGGAGGTGCTGTTCCGCGGGCACTCTGCGCAATTGGTGCTGTTCACATAGCTATACCAATTTGGTGGGCACATCCGGCAGCTTACACCAGAGCCTTGCCAGCCAGCCAAGCAGCCACACAGACGATCTGGTAAGAACAGATCAGGTGACACCTGCAGGGTTGAGCTGACGAGCCCACGGCAAGCAATGCCCCTGCGCTCATCGCTCATGATAATCCTCTCAGTTATTTGGAGCGCGCCATTCGTCAATAGATGCTCTGGTTGGCTGGCGTCGGTCAGCGAGGTGCCTTGAAGGTCCACCGACACAGCCTTCGAGAGCGCCTCCTGCAAGAGCCCATTCGCCAGACGCAGTGGGCCGCCGTTCCACGCTAGGCCCAAGTGTGTGGAAGGTAACAGAGCCTCCACGGCGGAGATCTGGTTGTTCGACACTTCCAAATTTTGCAGACTCTGCGACAGCAAGCTTGTCCAGACGTTTCTTGTCTCGCCGTTCACATGGACCCTCTCCAAACGCTCGCTGCGCACTGACCCTGTTAGGTTGCTGCCATCTGCCACAACCCTCGAGACGGCCGGTGACGCAGCCAAGATCAGTAGCAAGTCTTGCAGAGACCCGCGCAGGGGGCATCCCGAAACCTGGGCTTCCGCTACATCAGACCTGGAACGTACTAACTGCATACTAGTAAGCACATACTTGCTTAGACTTGCACGGTCTTTTGATTGTTACACACATACAAAAAAAACATACATTAATTACACTGCATGACGCTGTTCGCAATAGCACATTACATTATACATCGATTTCTGACGCTCATTGCACGAGATCAGTCATGGCCAAAACGTCAAAGCAGCCATCAAACAAAAGAACCCAACCAACAACAGTAAAAACCGCCCACAAACAGCCAAAGCCGAAAAGGTGGCCCAAGAGCACAGAGTCTTTAGCAGACAAATCTGTCATCTGTCCCCCAAACATGTTTGAGGATTCAACACCAACGTCAGGCAAGACTTCATGTTGTCCAATGTGCACTCTATTTAAAACGATATCAGTTGGATCATTTGCATGTATGTGTGCTTTTGCAATGTGGTATGTGATAGTCGTGGAGGGCCACGCCGCATATGGGGTACAATGCCCCGAAAACCAACCATGAAGCTTCATCATACCTTATCCTTTTTTGCCACCAAACAAAGAAGTAAAGGGCGCATTATTCTATTCAGTCAGCGCGTCAAACACTTGGGTTGCTTCATTCTATTGGATATCTGTTGGTTTCGTGTGTGGAAACATGGGTGGTGCTGCTTGTTGAATTTGTTTGGTTTTCTGCGGGTGGGGCGGTCGAGCTTCATTGTCAATCCATGACTGGTGCGCTCTGCAGTTCGTTTGTTGCATTGGTCTGCATGGAGCAAGAAGCACACGTGTGAGAAGTGCATCTGTGTGCTTGGAATATGAAGACTTTGGCGCCTTCAAAGTTGTGGCAGATGTTGACTTGGAGGCAGAGTTGAACAAGATGCGGAAGTTAGACCTTCATGACAAATGGGCAAACTTTGGGTTGCGGCCCAGAATTCCGTGACATGGTTCAGCTGATGGTGCGTGAGTGGGGCAGGATTTCAGCCAAGCCAACGCCATCCGACAATACCAGACACACGGGCAGTCAGTCCCCCAACAGCGAGTGAGACATTCAATGAGCGAATGGGCATCGCTCCAGCAGCATCAATCAAAATGTGAGCACTTTGATGCTGAAGACTGCCGAAGGGCTTCGTTTCGGCTTCTTTGCACTTTGTTGCTGTTGTGGCGGGCAAGGTGAATGAGGTTGATGTTGAAGTCTACGAAGAAGACAACCCGCAGTGCACGCGCGCATCTTCAGAGATGAGGAGCAGAAGAAGACCAAGAGTTCAGGCACACTACCACCTTGAGAGCATGAGACAACCGAGGAGGAGGACTTGTTCATCTATATGTATGTTTAACCTGGGCGACTGCGTTGGCAACTAAGCACGGGCGTGAACATGCAGGACAACCGTCTCCGGCGACACCGACGTTGAGAGGAGGTGGTGGATTGTTTTGCAAAGTTCCTGAAGTTGTGTGACAATTACCTCCAGCATGGCAAAGCCCCAACAAGCAGAAGATCAATGCGATTACGGAGTTCAACAGCGACTACGTCATAGTGTGGCTTGATGAGGGGGGCATGAAAAAGAACATGGAAGAGATGGCATCAAGCACTGTAACCTCGACATGTTCCACTGATGGTCAGTTCTCTTGCTAGTGTACGTCCCTTATGAGCACTTTTCACACGTCCGCGCGGCAGAGGGCGGATTTGCCGAGCAAAGGGGGAAATGGCTAAAATCAAGGCATGAGGGAGGGCCTTTGCCATGCCAATGATTGCACTGAATGTTTTGGGCATCTGCACCCACGCAGGTATCTTCATTGACGTCTTGGACTTCAAGACCGTACCCTGCCAGGTGTGGACTGGGTGGGCTGGGAGCGTGTTTGGTTCTTTTTGGTGCCTTGCGAGTGCGTGCGTTTGGGGGGCAGTGTGAGCGTTCTCCCTCTTAAAAGGCTTCGCCTTTTCCCGCAATGAATTCGGTGGCGGTGGATGTTGTGATGACCCCCCAAATTCACCCCCGGGAGATTTGAAGCATTAAAACACTAGGTATTCCATAAAGTTTTTCCTGGTTGTGTTCCTGACATTTGTCTCCCCATTCTTCTTCTATGCCTCACGGTAGGCGTTGAGCAGTTTCAATACTCATCACCAAAACAAACAAACTCCTTCAAAAACTCATGATTTTGCAAGTCTCACGTTTTGGCTTGAAATGCAAAAAATTCAACGATATCTTCTACTATCCGAGCAGCGTGTTCAATGTTTCTGCTTCCTGTAGTTTCGCTTTGCTGTGTTCGGAACAAGGGGGTGGTAGTAAAGGAAAAGGTGTCTTGCCAACACGTTTGTCCCCCGAAATTAACATTTCAGTATGAACATCTTTTGTTTTCATATCTAATGAGACTACATTAGAGCTGGGCGATCTTGCAACAGTTCCAAGCGACCCGCTGCCCGAAAATAGTTCTATTAAGTTCATATCATTTGAGTTATGTAGGTTTGAAAAAATAATTATTGTGTACTTATCATCATCGCCCTTTACAACCTTATACTATTCCAACGTTTGCTCCTTTGGGCTTTTGATTTGTCCCTTATTCACCATGTCACGGTGTTTCGTTTCAGAACTACCAGTAGGTCACCGAGCTCTTCGGCACCCTCGGGGCCTGAGGCTTGTTTGGAACCGAGCACTCCGTCATTCTCGGGACCGAGCTCTTCGGCATCTTGGAGAGCCCTTTGACGTTGGTAGCCTTAAGAGCGAGCCGCACGCTATCCTTGCGGGAGCGTTCCTTGGCGCAATCCTGCGGGATTACCTCATCTACCGGTGTCCTCGCGCTGAATTCCGATTACCAATTGCCTTTGTGGATGAGATAAAAGAGATTGTGCTCTGTAGCCAACACGATAATAACTCGTTTCATAATCAAAAAAAATCGTTCAGGCTTTCTAACAATTTTGTCACGTTTCTAAAGAACATATGCCAACGAAAGCATTCACGCAGCTCAGGATTAAAAACCGTACCAACAGCAAAAGTAGTACGTAGAGCGCATTCCCATGATGGCTCTGGCTCTGGCTCTGGCTAAATCGTAACTTTTGAGTACAAAGTAGCATGCGCGCGGTCACTCCGGCTCAAGAATCACAATTTCTAAGAACACACGTAGTACGCAAAGCGCCCTCTTCCAGAAGCGGCTGCCAACTTTGCCTGCCAACTTTTCGAGTTACTACACCTGCCAACTTCTCATGCCAACTTTTCGAGACTTACTTCACCTGCCAACTTCTCGCGCCAACTTTTCGGGAATTACTTCACAGCCAACTTCTCATGCCAACTTTTCGAGAATTTCTCCACCTACCAAATTCTCACGCCAACTTCAAGTCGCGGCTCTTGAAGTCGAATTGTAGTACGCCCACTGCTCCGGCTGGCAACTCGCGACTTTTAAATGCATCCGTCGAATGCGGAGCGTACTCCTGGCTGCTCCGAACTCTTAAGTACGGACGTAGTGCGCGGAGCACCTCCAGCTCTCAGCTCAGGCTGAGCATCTTGTGCGCAGACACAAGCGCCGAGCATCTCGCGGAGAGAAACTTGCACAGAGCAACGTGCGCACTTGCGCGCAGCAGCTTGCAGAGAGCAACTTGCGCGCAGCGGCCTTGAACAATGCAGCTGGCGCAGGCCGCTTGCGTGAGAAATTGCGCAGCGCAACTTGCGCAAAGCACATTGCGCTGAGCAGACTTGTGCAGAGACAATTTGCGCAGAGCCAGTTGCACACAGTCACTCGCGAAAAGCACCTCGTGCGGAGCCAGGTTTCACAGAGCCAGGCTGCACTGAGCCATCTTGCGCAGAGCAAAGTTGTCCGAGCCTGCTTTGCAGAAGCTGTGGCTGTCTAGCGTGGGCCATGCGCTTTCATGACAGAGCGTTTTCTTTGTTTGTCAGGCTTAGGAAGGAGCTCGTTGCTGTTGGCTTGTTTTTGTTTGTTTGGTGGGCAGAGCCGTCCTTGAGGGTGAAGTCAAGTTGACCTGCAGTGTTTGCAAAAAGTGTTTCACACATTGCCGCACGCAGCGCTCAAGCAAGACTTAGACTTTTGAGCAACAGCCTGCGCACCCGGCAGTTATTCCGATTGCTAGCATCTCGCCTTTATGAAGTATTGTGCGCACGCTTGAGTTGCGGATCTGCATGAGTTGAGACTCGGTTCACCTTTGCATTCTCGGCAGCAATTGTTTCAGAGTCCTGAGTCTCACATGTAGCACTAGAGCAAGACTAGCGAGCAGCTGCCGTCATTTTGTACAATTCATCAGATCGAAGCCACCGCATCGAGTGTGCTGAGCATTGCTACAGCGTACGAGTTTGCTTGGCGTGGCACACGGTGGTGGTGCGCACGGTTACTCCGGAGGTTGCTAAGCAGACTGCCGCGTCCCTGCGGCAGCTTGCTGACACTTTGAGCCTGCAGCAGCGTCGAGACTAGTTGTGGCTCAGGATGCTGCAGGAACTGAGTCGCAGCAGCAGTTGCAGAAGCTGCTAGATAATCTGCATTCTCCAGCAGCTGCAGACTGGCCTTAGCCAAGGTTGTCGAATTTGCTTTATGTTCGTTCCCGTGCATTGGAAGCGGAGGTTCGCTACGAGTGGCCTAGCCAACATTACCTGGTCGTGCGTTCGCTCGCTAACCCACATAACTCCACATGTACATGGCTGAAGCACGACAACATGAAACATGTGAAGCCACGCGCGTTTCCTGCGCTTCCACATCTTGGTTCTGTCTGGGTTTGCTTGCTTCTCGGACAAGTGCTGCAGCAGTGCCTCCAGCAGCTCTGCCTCGGACAGGTTGCGCCCAGCCTCACGCTGCTTCACGCCCGCAGTGCCGGAGGGGGTCTGCTTGCCAGCTCCCCGCGCTGCGTAGCCTTCCTGCACGGCAAGGTTTTTCCGCGCGGCTGGCTGCGCAAGGAGCTTGGCAAGCAGGCCGCCGTGCAGCTGCGGCAGCTGCAAAGACGTGAAGCCGGACGCAGCCTGTCCAAGGCAGAGCTGATGGAGGCTTTGTCGCGCTGCGCAGGTTTTTCCCGAAAGCAGAA